GAAGGGTGGGGTGTAAATTCAATGTCGTCGTTGTCTCCTCCTCCTGGTGGTGGTGGCCAAGAGGGAACTGGCAGCCCTCATTGGAAAAGCCCGGTTACTGTAAATAGCCTATCGGGAGTAGGGGGTGTGTTTAGGTATGCTTGGTGGCGGGTTTTCTGAACGTATATAAACCGGCCTGCGAGCCGGTTAGTTGTCTTTGTCCTGAACTAAATAAAGGTATGCTTAGCTGAAATCACTCTCCGTCTGCATACTTTTCAGCATCACTTGCCCCAGAGCCCCTATCTATACCCTATCTGCATTCATAGGGCTGTTTCCCCCATTGACGTGAAACAGGGAAGCCCTTGCAGTTTGGAGGGATTTCTGGCAAACAGGAGTTCCCAAAGTACCTTGAAGACTTTTTTTTTTGGGCTGTCAAATTGCAGCCGACTTATGGTTACCTCGTAGGGTTTTCAAGGCAAGAGACCGGCATGTTTTTGGTCTAACACAAACGTTTGGGGACGAGAGGCCACAGCGGACAAGAGCAAGGACTTCATCCTTGTTAAGCCTGTGAGCCCTTTGGGAATTCTGAAGAAAAGGTAGCGGGATCCACCTCAGAATGGCTGCAGTGACCCCCCCACACACTGGTGTACGGGGGTGCTGGGGCCAATCATGAAATACTGGGAGGATATAAGGCAAACATCTTTCTGTGTTGGATGCAGCTCTTTCTGGATGGGGGTTCCCTGCAGACACAAAGGTGATGCCCCCAAGGCCCTTGTCAAGCCCCCAGCTGGGTTAAGAGATGTAGTGGTTAGGGGCTTGGGGACTCTAATCTGGGAGAACCAGGTTCAATTCCCCACTCCTCCACATGCAGCTGCTGGGTGACCTTGGGTCAGTCACAAGTTCTCTCAGAGCTTGTTCTTTCAAGAGCAGTCCTCAGCCCCACCTACCTCACAGGGTGTCTGTTGTGGGGAGGGGAAGGGAAAGGAGATTGTAAGCTGCTCTGAGAGTCCTTCGGGTAGTGAGGTAAAGGTAAAGGTTCCCTTGCTCGAAAGCCAGTCGAGCCCGACTCTAGGGTTGCGGTGCTCATCTCCGTTTCAAAGCCGAAGAGCCAGCGCTGTCCGAAGACGTTTCAGTGGTCATGTGGCCGGCATGACTAAACACCAAGGCGCACGGAACGCTGTTACCTTCCCACTGAAGCGGTACCTATTTATCTACTTGCAATTTCTTGCTTTCGAACTGCTAGGTTGGCAGGAGCTGGAACTAGAGACAGGAGCTCACTCCGTCATGCGGCACACTCGGGTCTTGAACTGCTGAACTACCGGCCTTCCACAGCCTGCAGTTCAGCGTCTTAACCACTTGAAGGGCAGGGTATAAATCCAATCTCCTCCTCCTCCTCTGTAGGGTTGCCAGCTCTGGGTTGGGAAAATACTTGGAGATTTGGGGGGTGGAGCCTGGGAAGGGCAGGGTTTGGGAGGGAGGGACTTCAGTGGGATATAATACCATAGAGTCCACCTTCCAAAGTGGCCATTTTCTCCAGATGAACTGATCGCTGTCACCCGGAGATCTGTTGTAATCCCATGACATCTCCAGCCACCCCCTGGAGACTGGCAACCTTACACCTATGATTTCACCATAGAGTTTGCCGTTATTCCTAGAGCTACTTGCCATCACTTCCGGGCTTTCCCTGGAAGTCATGCCGCCACCATCCTCCCCTTGTCTCCACCCGCAACACCCCTACCGGTTTCTAGGCTCGGCCTGTCCTGCAATGAGGTGCAGGAAATCCAGGAGCGATGTCTTTGCTTTGGGGAAGAGACGTTTGGTCGAAGAAGCAAATGGGGACCATGTCGGAGATCACTGGACGAGAGCATGACTATATTTCCAGGCCCTAATTCTGATCCTAGGGTTCCGGTTTTCCGTCTTAACAGGCCCTTCTCGTCGATAATGTCGATCTAGGAGCCCAGGATGACCGAGGCTGTACTCCGGCACATCTAGCAGCGACTCACGGACACTCGTACACCTTGCAAACCATCCTCCGGAGTGGGGTGGTAAGAGGAATCCTGCCTTCCTAACCTCTCTTGCTTGGGACTCAGTGTGTTTCCACTGTATCGTTACAGTTCTTTAAGGAAACAACTGGATTGTGGAGTTGGGCTGGATACGGTTTCCTCGGATTTTCACTTAAGTAGACTTCTGCCCTGTCCTGGATCGCCCAGGCTAGCCCGATCTCGTCAGATTTCAGAAGCTAAGCAGGGACGGCCCTGGCTAGTATTTGGATGGGAGACCTCCAAGGAATACCAGGGCTGCTACTCAGAGGCAGGCAATGGCGAACCACCTCTGAAATGTCTCTTGCCTTGAAAACCCTACAGGAGTCACCAGGCATCAACTGTGACTTGACAGCAAAAACAAACAAACTTACTTCTGCCAAGATGTTGAGCAAGCTTTGGAACTCCCTGCCACAGGAAGCCAAGCTGACTTTTGGCTTTCTACAGATCAGCGAAGATCGCTCTTTCAGACAGTCTTTTCGCAGAAACTAAATCCAGCTGTTTCCCAACTCGATCTTTTTTATCAGTTTGGATTTTGATTGCTGCTTGGGGTTTTATTGTTGTGTACTGTTAAGAATATGGGATGCAAAGTACTCAAATCAGTAAAAGTAGCTATACCCAGGGGTCATTTCCTGCAGGAGCGCACAGGAGCAGAGCTCCGGCAGTAAAGAGCCCAGGGGGCGGGCACATGCAACAAGCCCCACCCCCTGCCCCCAGCAGCCCTCAGTCAGAGCAAGAAGCAACCCCCCCGCCCCTCCGGCCCAAAACAGTCCAGTGGCACCTTTAAGACCAAGTTTTATTCAGGTACAAGCTCTCCCTCCTCTGCGAGGACAGATCTGCATGTCCCCCCCCCCCGCATAGCTAGCAATCCAAAACAGTCCAGTGGAGCCTGAGCAGTGAGTGTTGCCTTCTGACACACTTCCAGTGATGTCAGGGGGTGTGGCACATGCAAATAAGTTATGCTAATGAGTTATGCTAATGAGCTCCTGCACCTCTTTTTCTACGAAATGACCCCTGGCTACACCCAATAAAGAAAATGATGCGAATATTCTCAGTTTGCATAATTTATGCACCAAAGAATCTGGGTTCTCTTGGGGCAAGGTTGGGTTCTCAGGGACGGAATTTGGTTTACGATATTTGAAACAAACGTTGCCCTGCCCAGGCTTCTCCGAGAACAGTCTAGAGACCCTGGGCACGATCCAACTACTGTTCGGCAACTAAGTCCCACATTTAAATACTTTCTCTCCGCCTCTTTCCTTCATGAAAACTAGGACATAAACGTTTCCGACACGAACGGCTGGAAGCCCATTCACAACGCCGCCTTCCACGGCCGCCTCGGCTGCCTGCAGCTTCTCGTTCGTTGGGGAGCCGCCCTGGACGATGCCGATAACAACGGGGATTTCCCGGGTACCGTGGGGGCCCTTCCTTACAGCTTTGGATGGGGAGTGACACTTGGGTGGTGGAAAGGGCTGTGAAGTCACAACCGAATGACGGTGACCAGTGTTCCCTCTGAGCTGAGCTAGTGTGAGCTAGCTCACAGTTCTTTAATCTCCGTCTCACCCATTTTTGTCTCAGCTCAGGAAGGATGGGGCTCCAGAGCAAACTAATTTATGCAGCAGCCAAATCGCTCACTCACAACTCTAATGCCAGTAGCTCACAAAGTAGAATTTTTGCTCAGGAGACTCCACAGCTTAGAGGGAGCATAGACGGTGACCCCTGGTGGGGTTTTCAAGGCAAGAGAGGTTCAGAGGTGGTTTGCCATTGCCTTAGTGGCGACGCTGGATTTCCTTGGCGGTCTCCCATCCAAGTACTAACCGGGCTGACCCTGCTTAGCTTCCGAGATCTGACGAGGTCAGGATAGCCTGGACCATACAGGTCAGGACAAAAGACATACAGAGATGGTTTGCCATTGCTTGGCTCTGCATAGCAACCCTGGACTTCCTTGGGGGTCTCCCATCCAAGTACAAACCATGGCTGGCCCTGCTTAGCTTCCGAGACTTGATGAGATTCAGTTAGATTGGGCCATCCAGGGGCAGTTACTTGGAGGGAGTATTTTATGGTGAATCCTGGAATGGGGGGGAATTTGTCTAGAGTTGGGTTCCACACATCCATTCCCCTGATGTTGGTGCTTTCTTCCATACTGAGGAGGGTTCCTTGAGCTAGAAAGAAGCTCCCGCATTGGGGCATGGATCCATGGGACCCTGTCCACTGTTTCCCTCTACACACTGCTATCCTTCTCAAAGGGCAAAGAAATAGAGGTTGGGTTTGAGACCAGTCTTATACCCCTTAAGGCGGTTTGTAATACAACTACACTAGAATCAAGCCTGACATAGAACTATGCATACGAAGATCCACAGATAAGGGCGCAGTTGCTAGGTTGAGCAACTACTGGGAGGGTTGGGGGAGGGGACATGAGGGGGTGTGACGTTGGCTGCCTCACCACATCACTTCCGGGGCCTAGGGTAACTCTAGGAGTTGCCAGAAACTCTATGGTAAAAACCATAGCATTTCTGGTGATTCCTAGAGCTACCCTACGCCACTTCTGGGTTTTTCCCGGAAGTGACATAGAGATGCAGCCAATGTCGCTGTTTGTTTTTTAACTTGGCTAAGAGGCCTGCTGGTGAGAGGCCTGGCACCCTTAGATAAGGATGCTTCATTCGAGTTTTGGACTTGATCCTGAATATTCTTTTGTTAAACTGGAAGGGGGTGGGGGGAAACAGTGCAGCCTCCAGAGTGTCCAGGCTAAATATTGAAATATTGTCTGAGTATTGCAGAACTGTTAAAGAAGAGCTCAATGCTGTCTTGGCGGGGGGGGGGATTTAAGGGTCATTTGGTTGGTTCTAACCAGGGGTCATTTCCTGTGGGAGCACCCCGGGCTCTTTTTGTAGCAGGTACTCATTTGCATATTAAGTGACACACCCCTAATGTAGCCAATCCTCCAAGAGCTTATAGTAGCTCCTGTAAGAAGAGCTCTGTATGCTCTTGGGGGATTGGCTACATTAGGGGGTGTGGCCTAATATGCAAAGGAGTTCCTGCTACAAAAAGAGCCCTGCCCGGAGCGCACAGGAGTGGAGCTACGGCAGTAAGGAGCCCAGGGGGCAGGCACATGCAACAGGCCCCACCCCCTGCTCCCAGCAGCCCTCAGTTGGGCCATGAGGAGCAAGAAGCAGCCAGGTAAGTTGCAGAGTCCCCCCCCCCGGCCCGCCTTCAGGTACAAGCTCTCCCTCCTCTGTGAGGGCAGATCTGCACATCCCCCCCCCCAATAGCTAGCAATCCAAAACAGTCCAGTGGAGCCTGAGTGGTGGGTGTTGCCTTCTGACACACTTCCGGTGATGTCAGGGGGTGTGGCATATGCCAATAAGTTATGCTAATAAGTTATACTAATGAGCTCCTGCACCTCTTTTTCTATGAAATGACCCCTGGTTCTAACAATGGCTGAACTTTTCCTTCTGTACATCACAGTTCACCTGTCGGCAATGGAAGGGCACCTGCCCTGCTTTAAGTTCCTAGTGAACAAAATGCCCACTTTAACCCACTCCTTGAAAGCCCGAAATGACCACGGGGAAACCCCCAGGGACCTGGCGGAAAGGTTCTACAAAACAGACATCGTGGAGTATATTGATGGCCTACAGAAAGAGAAAGACAGACCGAAGAAGCAGGAAAGTGAGTTACTTGGAGAAGGGGACCTTCACAGGCGAGCCAGTAGGGCTCCCAGTTCCCCCCTGGCCATGGGCAGGGGATGGGGGGGGCAGGGTTGTCAGATCCAGGTCGGGAAACTCCTGGAGATCTGGGGATGGAGCCTGGGGAGGGCAGGGACCTCAGTGAGGCAA